TCGTTCCCAAACGCATCGTGCGACACTCGGTTGCACGTACGTACTGCCAATGGATAAGCAGTGAGATTTTATAGTAGTTGTTAATAACGAAGCAAATTCAGCAGATAGCATTATTGCCATAGTCACTGACTAAATGATTTTCGTCGAAAGATAGGAAAGTCCAGAATGGGAATTAATAAGGGATAAAAGTCTGATACGCAGCAGCGAATGGGGTGGTTGAAAAGAGGATTTTGTCAAGAGAATGAAAGTTTTAAAAAAAACAAAATAAATTTAAGTGGACTCCCTGATGATTCTGGCTAATAGCCATCGATCCTGCCAATCCCTAATGCGCATTGATACATACCAATCTGGTTTTATTCAGAGCGTCCACGTTAAGCCAAAAGAATTTAAAAAATATCCAGTCGATTTTACATAATCTCAGTGGAACGTTGAAATCCGGACTTCAGGTACCTTTATTTGCATTTATGGGTTCCTGTAAAATCAAAACGGACGCAGAATCTGGCACTCTTACTCCGACACTTAATATGGGTTTTCCTTGCCAGGAAAAGAAGCTAGAAGGGTGGATACGTGGCTTATGGGAATAGGGTGTCTTTTAATGGTGCACCCAGGTGTTGGGACGAACGACTTCTGCGGAACCCTTGTTCCTGATGAGCCATCGCCATAATGCTTTTCGCCATTCAACATTGCACGGCACACTTCGCACACATTATTTCTCTCCGTTTCCCATAAGAGCCACTTCTCCCATTTTCCCATGACATCACGTTCACCCCAATTCCGTCTGACGTACCATTTTGTATCCACGCGAACGAAAGGCGTACTAATAACTTGGTAAGAAAATTCAATCAAATCAAATAAAAACAACAATCGTCATCGTTATCATAGATATAGTAACTGTCCAACCCTAAATTGATATGAAGATACTTTCAAAGAGTGGCCTGTCCTTGGCAGTGTCTCGTGTGATTTACAGGTAGGGCGACGCCGGGCGTCCCGACGCCTATGATCCCTTCCCAGACGTTGTCGCCCTTCTTCCAGCTGAAACAGGCCCTTATTCCCCTAAGGGCTAGAGAAGCACGCGTAGGTACACATGTAGGCTATACGATAAGCTCTAAAGGCTTTTTATTTCGTTCGCACTTGAGAAATACAAGAATTTTTACGAAGCAATTCACGAAACCATGATGCACCTTATGCGAGCCTGAACAAAGAACATTTTCTGGTTTGGGAATATTGGTTCTCTTGGAAGGCCAAGGTTCAAGGTTCAAACAATACCCTCCTAAAGTTTGACGGCCATTAGTTGAATCTACGTTGGTAATTCTTGGCCGCAGGTACCGCTAAGGGTTGAAAACTTTGCGGAAGACCAGTCTTAGCCACACAGACAGTAACTTCGACAAGGGCTGTAGCAACTGGACCGAGAACCCTGAATCACTTAATTTTGCGTCTCCTTATTTATATACGATTTATTTTTAATTTACGTCTCAAGTATTCGAAGCCTTTAAGGGATTATTGCCACGTAAAAAAAGGAATGGATAGAAAGGAGTTTCCTGTCTAGGAAAAGAAGGGGATGTTGATTATCGAAGGAGATGGAAATCCACAGTGTGGACCAAAGGGGGTGGTTAATTTGGTAACGTTAAACCAGGAGGAAAGCGCTTTTGAAGCGTCGCGACGCAGCTGCACCGACGCCAAAAGCAATCACGTCCCCGAAACTGTCGCGTTTTTCATCCCTCACCTTTATCCACGTTGCTGCCTCTACTATTACCGCCATGTTGCTGCCACTATATCTCCTACGAGCTAGGACCAATCATCGTCCCGCTTTATTGGCACTTTATGCCAACGCTCGCGGGCTTTGTATCAGGTGCCACGAGTGCCATTGTCCGGATTATTGGCAATTTGTCAATTTCAGGATGATGCTGATGAGAGAGAAGATGCAAGTAGCAAGCAATAGGCTCCCCTTGACGTCTGACCAAAACTTTACCTTTCCGCTGTAAATTCAAGGTACATGGAAGAGACGCGACGTGGTAAACTATTTTTGGACCAAAGCTGTAGTCAAGCGAAAGACAAGATGGAGTATCTCGAATACAGCTATGTAGGACTAGACTGCTGGAGTGCGAGGGATGAAGGATGTAAGGGATAAGGGACGCATGCTGGATGCCTGACTGGTTGGTTGGCTGGGTTGCCTAGTGCAACCAAGTCGACTCTGTCAACATTATTATACCACAGATTCCCAAGGGAGTGCTGACACACGCGTTCGTGTAACGAGGCCGAATAGATCACAGAAGTGGTTTTTTAAAATATGAATAAAGCGTAGCAGCTATGGGAAGGGTAGCGCGTGGCATCCCTTGAGCAAAGGGAGAGATCACCCTTCTCACTGAGTATTCCTTGGGTCGAGTAATAACAAAGGGTGTTGTCCAAAATGATCTGGTCAAGGATCCTTGACCAGAATAAAACTTGAGTTATTAATAAAAGAAAAATATTTCTCTTACAAAGATAGGAATGTCAATGCAGCTTACTGGAGTTTATTTTCTTGTACTTTTACACAGCTCTGTCAAAGTCCTATGTGAAATACCGCAATAAAAAAAGACATTTAGGCCTTTCATAAAAATTTCTTACTTTGACGCATTAAAGTGTACTCAACGAGAAGTCTCTCCTCTTATAGTCGAACATTAGCTGGTACGGTTCCTTTACGAGAATGCCACCAGGACCAAGATGTCGGGCGTCCCGACATTTACGGGGCAACCCTCTGGTATGAGAATTGAGGTAAAAACACACGTCCAAAGGTATCCCGACGGGATGCATGGAAGACAATGGTAGAAAAGAAAAGAAAGGATTCTCTTGCGAAAGAAACAACTAGTGAAACTCGCTACACGCTGAAGAAAAGAGGCTAGAGGGATAGGGCGTGGGGTAGATCAGACGGCGCCTTGGGGTTTCCAACGCTTCGACTATCTACCAATGTACGTACGATACCTAAACGCGAACGTAACGAACGTAGCTACAGACTCGGAATAGAAATACGTGACGTTGAAAATACAGAGGTAGTATTGCTTTTTTTTGTATCTGTCTCTACGTGCAATAATTACTTCGCCGGAACTTTGTCACGGAAATCAATGTATCCGCTTTATAATTGGGAAGGTTTACATGCATCCGTTTTATTTTTACGAAAATTTTTATCTACTGTTGTGCAACAAAATTTAGAGAATGAATGGTTCTGCGAGTACGGTAGGTAAATTGCATTGTCGCAATGCCGAGACTGTTCAGGTTCCTCCTGAAGGGCTGACCAGCCAATTAGGTTCTCTAGGACCCTTGATAGAATTGCCAGGAACTCGAGTCCGACTCCGACCCCGTACTGGTACGTAGCTGCAAATATCACTTGAAGTACCAGAATGAGCGGAACGGATTTATCCGACCATTTCTTGGGGAATTGAATGGCTGTATTGGGTTCTGATTATTCTCCATCATCGTACGTATCAACATATATCGAATCATTATCCAAAATATAATTAGTGTTACTGGTAAGCAAAGTCATTATAGCAATAACGTTTTTACGACGCGTTTCTTGAACGTAGACGTCTTTTAGATATTCTATGGCCATTGTGTTGGTCGAAGGAAACATTGGGAACACACAATGTTTCCAACAGGGAATGTGATTAAATTATGTAAAATTTATACCAAACAGTAAACATTCTCGAAATATCTGGAGCTTTTTTAGAAAATAGAGACATCTACGAAAGCTTTCTGAACAAAGTCGACCGATGAGGTGAGAAGACTTACAGTCGGTATATGCACCCGCATAGATTGCCCAGGTCGGTAGAAGTAGGAACCTGTGATCGATACAAGTAGCTAAGCTTTTCCTTTGGTTATCGCGAAAGCTTAGTTATCCTGAGAGATGCTGAAGTTGAGCACGATTCCCGCAAGACGTTGATGAAATTGAAAGAAGCAGATGGACAAGAGAAAAAAAAAGATGCGGAGAGCGGAAACACAAGCGACTTCTTCCAGTAGGAACGAGTGGCTGCATTATTTCAAAGCACTCAGAAAAAAGCTCGAGCATTGTACAAGCGCGCTATGTGGATCAAAAGCTCAAAAGGTCAGAGTTCAAGTAGTTGGCGGTTTCAGAGTAAAAGTGATCTTCAGTGAACAAATGCCTTAACAATCCTACTTTAAACATGGCATACAGACACACTGAACTGTCACCTACTCAAGCTGACCTTTATATCGACATTTTGATTTTCGACATAAAAATTTGCAAAAAAATTCATCAAACTCAAAAGTGGCATTCTGGTGAATCTAAAATGAAAATGAAGAACAATACATTATTTTGATAAAGTTGCTAACCAAGGTAATCGTCAAAGTAAGAGGGGATATGTGTCTCGGCAGTATTCTTAAGAATGAACTCTAAGGTCGATGACACGTAGCAAGGCAACCTAAGATGTCAAGGGTCCTTGTGACAAAGATGGACTAAACCAACCTGAAATTGAGCGAGTTTCATAATTCAGAAATAGAAGATTTTCCCGCAAGCTTATGTCCCGTGCGGAATGACGTCAACGTGAATTTTCCTTCAGGAAATATTGAATTAAACTCACGACCTCTTGATAAATTCATTCCCAGGACCGCCACAGCTCCTACTGAATTATCCCAGAGTTTGCTTCTCAGTCCCTTCACAAGTTACATACAATTCAGGATCCCATAACCATACTTAGAGCCGGAAGATGTCAAGAATATCTCTAGGATGTCCTATCAGTGTCCCGACATCTCAAAAGCACATTATAAATAATTTTTCAATATATCATGACATCGTGTATTATTTATGAATCATGTTATATAATAAATTCCATATATAGGTTCAACTTATTTCTGATCCGTTTGCTGCTGCTTGCAAGATTCAATTCAATACGCGATATCGCGTTTTAAAACAGCATTTCGCATTTGACAAATGAATTCCATTTAATGTCCCACTTTGACATAGTCGTAATTCTAATCGTTGCGTTAATTGTTCCCGGCAAATTGTCAATTGCTCTCGACTAATTGCCGAGGTCGATCAAAGGTCCAAATCGGTCGAGTGAAAGGCGCGATTGATTTAAAGTAAAATCCTCATGAATCTTTTAACACGTTGTTCACTATTCATCCTTATCATTCCATATGGTAACAATAATAAAAATCCAAATCGCCTTTTTTTCTATTTATTATACAATAGTTCTGTATACGAATTCTATTCAATCAGTTGCTACCTTGTGGGTGTCTTTTAACGCAGCAAGAAATTATCTAACGAGAAATGAGAAGAATTCTCGAATTCTAGGAAGACCCTACGAGGTAAGGTAAATGATAAGGGATTAAAAAACTTTAAGAACCTTTAAACTACTTTTATCGTCCATTCTTCTCAAGGTATCTTTGCAATACATCAGAAGGAATCTTCACTTTTGTGCTGGTTGTGTACTTAATGAAAAGTGGGTCGTAACGGCGGCGCACTGTGTGGACAAGTGAGGAAGAAAATTCGTATTGGTTCAGTATATCGATTACAAGAAAAACAAAATCAATGGATCAATTTTTCAGACTGATCGATACACCGTCAAAGATAAAGGTGATTGCTGGAACATTCGATCTCGAAATTCCGCGAAGCGCGCATTACGTGAACAAAATAATTGTCCACGAGGATTACAATGCTAACGATTCGTGGAAGAACGATATAGCTTTGCTGGAAGTAAGAAGTATTGATAACCAATAATAATAAGAAAACAGATACCCAATTAAGAAAAAGCGATACACCCTCCGTTTTCCAGGTAATAAAGAAATTCCGTCATGTACGCAATATCGTCCCCATAAAATTGCCAAAGAAAAATATAAAAATTCACAATGGCGATCTCGCAGTAGTATCCGGATGGTCCCGTATGTTGCAGGTAATAATAAAGTTCAATAGAAAAAAAAAGGAGCGCAATTGCGCAAATAGCTAGTCCGAATCCGTAATTTTCACTTATTCATGTAATTTCCATAAAATCGGGAGAATTCAAGGAAACTCGAACGTCTCGAGGTGGAAATGATTTCGAGGGAAGAATGCGCGAGAGCCTACGGAGTCTTCGGTTTATCAATCCATGAGAGTCAGATCTGCGCCGACGTACCCGACGGTGCTACCGGTTCGTGTAACGTGAGTAAAGCAGAAAAAAGAGATTAAAGAGAAGCAGGAAAATTAAAGAAAAGGGAATAAAGTACCCAATGTAACGTAAAGGGAGAATCGTCTAGAGTAGTTGAATGGTTTCGCAGGGTGATTCCGGTGGACCATTAACGTTACGAGATGAGCTCATCGGGCTCGTATCCTGGTCCTACGGCTGTGGCAACAAGGACTTCCCTACTGTCTACATCAGAGTTTCGAAATATCTTGGTTGGATCTCGGCCAATGCCCTTACGATCGATAGTTAACCCTTTCTCTGTTGGGATTCTGTTCACGTCAACCTCCACTGAGTCTATGCTGCCTGCCTCCACCTGCTCTTCTGCCTGCAATTTCATTTATCTTCAGCATAAATGCGCCCACTTGATTTATCCCTTCCGAGTATTACATTGCTGACATAATATTTCAACGTGCGATTCCAAGTCAATGCATTGGACTACTTGTTTGATGATCAAAGTAATTCGTAGGAACGAAGTACCTGACTGGAATTGCGCTCACGCAGATGATTAAAGATTGGGTCAGGGTTCAATTCCAATCTAGCTGCGTAGGTCAAGGCATTATTGAATAATGGAAATCTTTGTTAAAATAATTAATGATATAATAAGTGGAATTGTGTCGTGAGCAACTCTGTTGCAATAGTGACCCTATTTGTTAATCAGGAGAGAATCATAGTCACTTAACATTTTTTTGTTTAGCTTCATACCTCTAGTAACATGTTGAATTGAAATAAATTTCCAACCCAGTGGTTGCGCTGACTATAAATTATTTATTACCACCAGAAAGTACTTTTCTCTTGTGCCTTTTTGGTAGCAAACAAATTCGAATTTTCAAAGTGGAATACACTTACAAAGTGCAACCCAGATTCCGATCGTGAACTATAACACTTTATCGGAGAGCTATTTATCGCGTGATCCATATCAGAAGTTCGTTTCTGCTGAAAGGTATTTCGTTATCGGCACGAAATCAGTTACTGTGCAAAACTATCGACGTGGAATACACAATCGGTAATGAAGTATACGCGTTATGGGTGATGAGTGAGTGGAATTATTTTAAAACAAAAAACTGTCGATCTTATTGGTTGCATAAAGGATTGCTAGCTTTAGAATCGCCGGTACCTTGGATCTAAGGGTACCAGTATCCAAGCATTATAACTGAGGAGTAATTTACCATGGAGATTACTATCCTAAGGATTTCTAGAGGAACGATATTGCTCCAGTAAAGGTAATCTGGTCTGTGAACGATAAAGGCATTTTCGCTCCGACCATCTGAATTCCCAAAGCCAACCCAAGCTGTTCCTGCGGCCACGATAATCCTCCAGGAACTCACCAAGCAGATTCATATTAATTTTCATTAGGATGAAGTTATTTCTTTAAAATAACTTCCGTGAATTTGATCAACTGTCAATAGCTTATAAAAAATTTACGCAATTTCGACTGCCTATTGGATGAAGTTTGCCTGTTGATAAATATGTTTATGATAAATTGGCATTTTTTTTCTTGAAAATACGATTTTGGTAAATTTATCTAAGTTTTTTTTTTTAATTCGACAGTAATGTTATACCTGTTATCCTGAAACGCGAAACTACTGAAATTTATAGTCAAGTCATAGTGAACAAGTTCAAAGAAAGTACCATTAATCTAAGTCAAGCGTGTGCTGACAGTGCGGAAGAAATAAGAATACAATTTGTTTTTGGACTAATAGAATTAAATTTATGGGCACAAAAAATCATTCAAAATTGTTCATTTTCAATTCAACATAAAGCCTACAAAATGGCAAATATATCTTTTTAATATGGAACAAAATGATCCTTTTTTTTTTTGAATATCCAAAGAAAAATATATCCATAAGAATTAGAATTGGTAATTAGAAGATAACAGACATTCCCAACCACGAGTGCGAAGTAAAACAAACTAAAATAACCGAATCAATTCAGATAAATTCTATCTTAATAGTCTTTTACATTTCCTCACAGAAAGGAATCATTGCTCGAAATTGAATATGAAAATTCCATCCGCCTGGAACGTCGTGCGAACAAGAGCCAAGTTCAAATAGAAAGAAATAGACAAACGGTGGGAAAATGATCAAAGAGAACTGCAGAAAATGTAGAAAGATAGATTCAACCCAACGTAAACCATTTCCTCGTCTTTCAATTCCTACCTCTTTGCGAAGCATATAAAAAAAAGAAAACAAAAAAAAAAGAAGAGGGAACCGATTCCAAACGTTTCACCGAGATAAAAATTCACTTCTATCCACATACGATTATTTCCACCAGAAATTCGAAGGAAACCAGTCAACCTATTTATTGGATTGTCGAAAAAGTTTCATTGATAGATATTTGAAAGAGAAAAACATTTTTCTTCCATTGAATTTCGTGGTCGCTAAAGTATCAGGAACGAATAACCAGAAAATCTGTTTTATCTATAGGGTTATTTTGGCGGGCTTAATGGTCACTAGAATTGTATCCTCGATATCCAAGTATCTACACGCGTATCGCAGAATATCAAGACTCGATCTACTGTTACTTCGACTAAGTTACTTTTTAGAATCTGGCTCGTCATGCAAGTCAGCATATAGATATGGCTGGATAAAAGTACAATGCCAGTCATAACAATTGATAACTGGTATTATGTAAAACCATGACAATGAAAATTGCTACTCTGTTGTCACGTGATACCTAATGAAATAAAATAATAATTGTAAATTATGAAAGACGAAGGAAAATAATACTGGGAGAATAATTTTTCAATGTAATTTTAAAAATTGTAAGCACAGATTCTATTTTAGAAATTCCTGTTTGTAAGGGATCTCGGATGCGATTGGAGATTTAGTATAAAATGATGGAACCGCCAAACGGATTGTATTTCATTTCACCCTTGTGTTTGTTGCAGTCATTTATAACTCGCCTCTCTATGCGCGTGCGGTTTAATTTCGATTCTGCTCGTTATTGCACCTCAATACGGCTGGTTAAATTTTCTACCTAGACCGTACAAAACTTCACCGAAACCCATTGAAAAATTCCCAAGTCCTTGAGCAACACGCTAAAATCATTCAGACGAGTGCTCTTCTGTTTCCCTCGTATTTTTTTTACTGACACTTCACTACAGAAAAATATATGAAGTCCCACGATAAAGTTTCCCCGTTGAATGCAAATGCCTAGAAATACATGAAATCAAAGGAACGCTTACGAAAGTGTTTTTGAAAAAACCCAAAACTTCAGCGACCAAAGTTAACCTATGGGTTTTCAGCTGCAGTCGAACCATTTGGTAGCAGGCTCATTGAAAGGCGCCAAGGACACGGTTGAGATTCAGCGTAATAGAAATACAAGACCTGAAAGAATGGCAAATTAAGTGAAGAAGGTCTAAGGAGAGAAACAGGAATGAAATCCTGGCGACAGGGCTCCCCGTGGTCGCTGGATTTTGGTAGGGCAGAATAGGGCAGGATAGCAGGTCAGCTGGCGCCAGGAGATCAATACGCCGTGCTCACGTGTTGCGCTCATTTCCGGTGACACTTCGTGCTCCGGAAATGATCGTTAAGTGCACCTTAACGACGGGTTAACGAGGGACAAGGTCATTGCGCTTGGAATAATCATTCGAAGGGTTGCTCATATTTGGGACATGGAAGACGTTAATAGTTTTAAAATATTCACCCCACAAATTGAAAATGATGCTGTATTTCTTCTTTCACTACGTTTGACCATTTTTCTTTCTTTCGTTCCCCTAAAACGTGGTAACAATTCCTTTCCTATTTTATATGCTAACCCTCGCAAACGAACTGCTAGTGGCTCACGCACACATAGAATATTCCTGGACGCGTCTTCACCGAGTCGCGAAATAGCAGAAAAAAAGTTTTTTCTGCTGGAGAAAAAAAGAATATTAAAGCATGCAAAACTTCTAGAGTAAAACTAATTCTCCGTGCGGACGTCACTTCCGTTTATAACCTCCTCCCTGTTATATAACTATGTAAATTGTGTATACCGTATACTTTTTTAATGACTATATACTCGGCTTATCACACTTGTCAGAAATTTAAATATTCGCGTTCAAAGGACATGCATAGGACATCTGAGGGACATCCACGTAACGAGCTATCCAGCATCTGTGGAATCGAACAGGCTCAAATATTTTAGTCTCGCTGGAAGAAGGTCCCGAACCTGTTACTTTGGATTCAGGAAATTCAGGAACCGAAACCATTCGGTCCAAGAACAGAAGCCCTCTCGGGATGTCTAGAAATATATTATGGAAATTTATGTCGACATTCCGACTCTTTACCATAGAGTTCGCTCTTCTTGGCTACCAAAGTGCCTATTATAATAAGTAGGATGTCTTGTAAAAGACGTTCTATGTGTCTGCGCATCAAAGCCCGAATTCATGGAAATTATTTCTGACCAAAATGTCAGGCAGCTAATAATTTATTCGAGATTGAAATTGAAGGGACCAATTTACTTCAATGTACCAGAAAATGTCCTGAATACGTCACACCTCTATCATTCAAAATTGTGCCGATGAAAAGATCGAACGAAGATTTCTACCCTTCTTAAGCGAAAATCTTATTGGATGAACTTAAAATTTTATAAACACATGAACCTATACTTTTCAATCTGTTCAGGCCTTCTCTAAAGGCCCGCTGGCTACATTCGCGATGCAAATGTATTTCTCTTTGGGACTGTCAATATCCACAAAAAAGATAATTTACTAAAACCAATCGAAATATCGTTGAACTCATTGAAGTGACCAAATAAAAGTAACGAATGAGCCACTCGTTCAGCTATCGATCGTAACGTGAGAAGTGATTCTGTCAACAACATGAACAAAAACAAATAGCTTTTTTACAGACAAGGAATATTAAGGATTCGTGACTGTATTTCATGTAATTAATTAAAACTGGTTAACAATACTATAATCGATAGAGACATTGATTCAATATTTAATGGAAAATCGATTTTATACTATCGGACTAGATCTAACTAACTTCATTTCGAAATTTTGGGGTTTCAAATTTGTTTATTCATTATCAACGCAACTTTAAGTTTCATTTGAACAAGTTCTTATATAGTCTAATGCTTCAAGCTGTCTGGCTAGTGACAGTAGAGTTACTACTATGTCATATGTTTCTTTTTGTGCATATAACAGATAGAGTCCAACCCATGAATATTTACACGGTGAATTAATAGTAGTGTAACATTCCCAAAAGTGTAGTGGAGGGACTCGATTTAATTGGCAGCGAAGCACCGGCTGAGAGTAGTTCTCGAGTAGGACGCTCGGGCGAGTAAAATCGACGGACGTCGAGGCGCCAAACATCGCGAGTTTCTAACGAGACAGGAGGTACGAATAATAAATACATGAGAATCAAATCATCTTCCACCCGTTAAGCACACTTACTATGAAGATCGATCCATGAACTGATATAAAAGTTTCTCCAAATAAAATGGAAAACCCCTTTTACTGTTTTTCGAATCCAGCTTTTAAAAAAAAAAAAAAAAAAAAA